GGTTGCCGGGCGAGGCGCGGGAAGGCAGGAGGGAAACCGCGGCAGAAAAGAAGAGGACGAGGAGGGGGGAGCAGCAACAGCAACAAGCAAACAAACACAAAGACGTGTGTTCCTGGCACGTGGGTTTTTTGAGTGGATTGCAGGCACAGCCTCCTCTCTCTCTCTCTCTCTCTCTCCTCCTTTTTGTTTGTTTGCCTTCCGCTTGTTGTTTGTGGTTGTGTATGCTTTTGTTGCTTTCTTCTTCTTTGCTCTCTCGCTGGCCGCAAGCGCGGCGGGTACGAGACGATGCTCGAGTTTGCAGGCAGCAGCCTGTTCCGGCACCATATTGTGTGCAGCCTGCTCACCAACAGGCCGGTCCGCATCGTCGGCATTCACGACGACGCGGAGCCGGAGGGGATTCAGCTCTGCGAGGCCAATTTCCTCAAGTTCATCGACCGCGTAACGAGCGGCTCCAAGTTCGAGTGCGCGGACAACAACACCACCCTGACGTTTTACCCCGGCATGATCCTCGGAGGGACGTTTGCGCACGAGGTTCCCAGCGGCCGCTGCGTGAGCTACATCGCCGAAGTCGCCGTCCTCCTTCTCCCCTTCGCGAAACTGGACACGCGGCTGACGCTGGTTGGCTCGACGCAGAGCGAGACGGACCTCTCCGTCGACACCCTCCGCACGGTGACGACGCGCTGGTTGCAGCTGTTCGGTGTAGACTGCAGCGTGCGAATCATTCGTCGTGGGGCGCACCCGGGCGGGGGCGGGGCGATTGACCTCCACTGCAAGGCTGTGCGGAGGCTGAACGCCGTTGACGCCACAACGCGAGGCCGTGTACGCCGCATTCGCGGCATCGCCTTTGGCTCGCGCGTCGCGGCGGATCTTGCCCACCGCGCGGCCACCGCCGCGAAGGGCGTCCTTCTAAACCTCCTTCCCGACGTCTACGTGGTGACGGACCTAGACAACGCCAAGCGACACCATGGGGAGCCGTCGAGCGGCTACGGGGTCGTTTTGGTGGCCGAGACGACCAGCAAACATTGCGTGATCTCGCAGGAGGCAACCGCCGCCCCACAGGAGCTCCCGGAGGCTGTTGGAAAGCGCGCCGCTGAGCTTCTTCTTGACCAAGTCTTTGGAGGCGGATGCGTGGACGCGCATCACCAAATGCTTGTCCTGCTGCTCATGGCGCTCAGTCCAGACGAGGTGTCAACGGTGCGGCTCGGCCAGCTGACAGGGAGCGTTGTCTCCGCCGTGATGTTGCTGGAGGCCTACTTTGGGGTGTCGTGCGCAACGAAGGACGAGCCGTCCCCGATGGGAGATAATCTTCCTCCCAGCACGCTGATCACCTGCGTTGGCAGCAACACCGTTAACGTGTGGAAGAAGAGCGGGTAGCTGTGTCTGTGTCTGTGTGTCTGTGTGCCAAACGGTGTTTCTCACTCCTTATGGGGGCGCTAACTACGCCGCGGAAACGGCGTAAGCAACGTGTAAAAGTGAATCAAAAAAACAAGGAGGTGGCTTTGTGCGCCAGCTTCCTTGGCGCGGCTAGGCAGTGCCCCACAACTTGCTCTGCAGTGGAGCGGCCTCACGAGGGAAGTAAAGTGCACGTTGTTTATTTTTATTTTCCTCTTATTTATTTGCTTCCTTTTTTTTTCTTATGCAGGCTTCTTCGTTGTGGGTTTTTACAGGGGCGGGCGGAGGGAGGAGTAGAGCCCGCGATGGAGCTGTGCTTGTCCCACAAGGGTTTGCGGAGCTTCGATGCCTCGACGCTGTTGCTGGGGGCCGCTGAGGGGCCCCGCCAAGAGACGAAGACTCCGTCGCGGAACCGCCAGATCGCCGTCCGTGCGCTGGATCTGTCGCACAACGGCATTGCCCGCTTTGCAGGGGGCCAGGCGCTGGCCGCGCTGGCGGTGTTGGACCTTTCCCACAACTCTCTTGCGACGCTTGACGCCTCGAGCCTTCCTGGGGGGCTGGCACGCCTGAACGTGGGGCACAACGCCCTGCAAGAGTTACAGGGTCTGTCTAGCTTTACGCCGAGGCTGCAGGAGCTGAACATCAGCTTCAACCGTCTGACCAGCCAACGTGTTGGTGAGCTCCCAAAGCGGCTGACGACGCTGCTCTGCCAGGGCAACTTGCTGGACTCCGTGCGGCCCTTGCTCCCCCTTGCGCACCTCGTCAGCCTTGACCTGAGCTCCAACCAACTCGCCGACGTGGAAGAGCTCCAGAGATTGAGGCAGCTGCGGGCGCTTCGTTATATTGAGCTGCGTGGAAATCCCGTGATGAGCGCCCCGGCGGCGGTTCCGTCGATCCTTGAGGCCGTGCCAAAACTCATTGCGCTCGATCGCACGCCGCTCTCGCAGGCGGGGGAGAACCAGATGTTCAAATTCCACCGCTCTAGAAGTGCGGAGCGAAACCAAACTGCATCCCAGCGGCGGACACGCAGGAGGTCGCTTTCCCGTAGGTCGAGCATGCGACGGCAGGATAGCAGGAGTGAGACGGAGGTGGAGGTACGCCTCTTGGAGACCCGCGTGAAGGAGCTGGCGCGGCTTTTGAGCGACGCCGAAAAGCGGGAGCGGCAGCTGCGGTATCAAAAGAAGATTTTGCGTGAACAAGTATCGGCGTGTGCAGGGGTCATAGATTCCCAGTCCATGGAGTTAGAACGACTGGCGAGGCGGATAGGTGAGTTGAAGGAGGAAGAGGCGTCTCTGCGAGAGCCAGTCGCGGAGTTGGACCAAACCTTTGAGCAAACCCATGCGTCCCTGGTGGCGCACAGGCTAAATCAGTCCTCCGGGAGTGTCTGAGAAAGCAAAAGAAAAGACAAAAACAAAAACAAAGTCGCTTCCATGGCGGAAAACAAAGGCACGAGAGGAAGAGGGAAGGGCATCCCTTGAACCACTCTCTGCTTCTGTATGTGTCTGTGTGTGTGTGGTGGGGGGGGGGGAGGTGAGTTGAGAAGAGGCCTCATGCGTGGCAAACAATGACTCTTGTTTGGGAAGCGTTTTAACTCTGTGTATTATTATTGCCCTGGTTTCTTTATTTTCTCCTTTTTCTTCCAGCAGTTTTCCTATTCCCCCCGTCGGTGGGCGTGCAAGCAACTTGCCGCCTGTAGAGGGGGCCGTTGTGGTTTCTGATTGAAACTGGAAGTTAGTGCTGGCACAGGTAGAAAGAAAAAAAAAGGAAAGTGGGTAACGGAAAAGCGCTGAAGACAAGGGGATTAGCACCAACGCGGAAATGGACGGCTGGAGCCTCATCGACTGCATGGGCGGCACAAGCCGCTTCATTACGAGCTTAACCTTCTTTATCCACTTTATTCACCCGTTGTTCTGCATCGCTAACTACTGTGCCTGGGTGATGTATCAGGTGCCCGTGCTGGGGGAGTCTATCGTGCACGCGTATCTTGCCATGAGCGTCGTAGCCGCCGTCTTCTACCTCGCCGTAGCTTCTGTCTTCTACATGTGGGCATGGCGCTTTCCTGACCCAGAGGAGGTGTCAAAGCGGCGCCGGATTTACGGTATTCTAGTGAATCTGCTCTTTTCCGACCTTCCCTTGTTTGTGATTGAGGTGAAAATATGTTGGGTGGTGCAGTTTGCCTCCGGCATACAGGGAACGTCGTTTGTGATTACATGCATTTCGTTTTTTTACTCCGCCGTTCGGGTGTGGACTTTTTTTATGATTAAACTCATCAAGATGCGTGCACCCGTGGTGGGCGCCCAACCACAGTTTGCGGGGTCCGCCATGTACGCCGCCGAGGGCCGAGGTGCGGGGCCTTCGGGCTACTCGTACAACGGCAACGTTGCACCGCGTTACTGGACGGATGCGAACGGTAGCGGGGACGACTACCGCAACAACACTGGCGGTTTCCCCCAGGGGCGCCGCACACCTAGTGACGCCTACCGGCGAGGCCCGCACTACGCCGACGGCCGTTATGGGGGTGACCAATTCAGCACGCCGGGGGGTCAGTCCCTGCCTCGTATTTAACAATATCGCGGTTCCAGTAGAGGCTGCCTAGACGGCGCCGGAAACATTAGACTACAGTCATTTGTATTTGTTTGCTTCTTTCCTTTCGTATCTCGTATATCGGCTCTGTTTTTTGTTTCTGCTTCTGTGATTGTACATGGCTCTTAGGGCTGCATTTCTCGCGGCCTATATATATATATATATATATGTCTATTCTGTATCTTGCCGCTGCGCCCATTCGACCCGCTGTTTCCTCTGCAACAATGTGTTCTGCTCCGTTCTTCTCTGCCGCGTACTTCAACTGCGCCACGGCACAGTGTTTCTAGGTTGATTATGGCCAGCATCAAGTGTGGAAGCCGTCGCAAGGCCCGCCGCGCCCACTTTCAGGCGCCGAGCCATGTGCGCCGCATCCTCATGAGCGCCCCGCTCTCGAAGGAGCTCCGCGCCAAGTACAACGTGCGTGCCATGCCCGTCCACAAGGACGACGAGGTGCGTGTGAAGCGCGGCGCGTACAAGGGCCGCGAGGGCAAGATCACGGCGTGCTACCGCCTCCGTTGGGTGATTCACATCGACAAGGTCAACCGGGAGAAGGCGAACGGGACCACCGTTCCCGTCGGCGTGCACCCCTCCAACGTGGAGATCACGAAGCTGAAGCTGAACCACAACCGCAAGGCCATCCTTGAGCGCAAGGACCGCAGCACCAAGAGCGACAAGGGCAAGGGCAAGGTGACCGCCGCCGAGAAGGCCATGCAGCAGAT